TAAGACGCAATTTTCCACCCATGTCGTGGAAATCCAAGGTCGGTATGTAATGGAATTCCGCCTCGCCACAACAGACGCAGTCTGAGATGGTGCTAGATGGGGCAGGGGGATGAGAGTGAGAGTGCGTTGAGGCTACAGCACCCCCCGCCAAACCCTGCATTCCGATGAACCACTCTAGATCTGGCCTTCCTTTGCTTTTCTTGCCTCCTTTGCCTTGTCCGACTCAAGAGCCACCCTTTGTACCAAGCATATCAACTGCATACGCAAACCCGAGCTCTCACATTTCCTTGGCTCTCCTCACCGTGTTTCACATCACCAACTTAACCAGCACATCCACCGCGAGCACGACCCCACCGTCCTCTTTTAGGGCCGAGGACCGGCAGCGAAAAGGAGGAAGAGCAGGAGCAGGAGGAAAAGGAGGAGAGTGTGCAAGAGGCATGCTAAATGCGTGCTCTTTCCGCGCTCAGCTATCCGACACGGACTGCCTACGCAGCGAGAAGTGACAGCTCATTTCAGACACAGAGCTGAGCGCCGCACCACCGTTGACTCCCGAGCCCATCTATGGTGGTTTAGTTTTTCATTCCTCACGTCCGTCACCAGCCTGTGCTGGCTGCATGAAGCCAATTGTCAGCCCGACAAAAGTGTACGTCACGATGCTCGCCCATTGGCCGTCGGAGGAATTGTCCGGTTCTCGCAAAAGGTCCGAACGTCGCCTGTCGTACCCTTTGGCCTTTCCCGTGTCGCCCTGCCCGATTACTGCATAGACAAACCGTTTCGCAGATCTGCTACGTCGCCGGGTTGGACAAAGTGAGAGCCTCTCTCTCCCAGCGTTCCCCCAAGATCCGAGGCAAATGGAAAATGGTGTGGTTTTCGTCAAACCTACTACTCCCTCCCCGGCCCCTCTCTCCGGCATGATCGATAGCTGCGTACGTATATATGCTAGTGAAACCTCGGCAGACAAAGAAGCAAGCAAATATCGGGTCCGAAACCCAGAGAGGATAGCATAGCATAGCATAGCATGTATGTATGTATGGCTGACTGGCCACCCTCTAAGCTGAGTAAGTTGAGGAGAGATGTGTTCCACCAGAAGGACCGACACCCCGCGGTGGCTGCTTTGGCTTCTTCCTTTTTCCCCCCTGGATTGGCTCAGAAAGTACTTGCCGTCCATCGCCTGCGTACCTCCGTGCTGACTGCATCACAAATGGCGCCCAAGACACGGGTCTTCTCAAGAGGTCGGGCCCAGACCCCAGTTAGTGTAGGTGAACCGCCCGGCACGCTGGTCATAACTTGCCTCAGCCAGGCCGTTAGTCGTTGTGAATCTTCTCCTTCACCAGGTCACTAGGGGGAATGTCTCTCCCTTCCCCTCTCCCCTTCAAGGATACGATCAATCCTGTAATAATAAAACAGTGTCTTTTTTGAGTTGTCTAAGCCTTGAATAGACAGTTCCTCCGCTGTAGGTCGTCGTTATATAGAATGATTCCAACAGTAATAATAAAAGATTCAAGCCCGCCCAGATAGGTATGTTAACGCCCATTATGCCGCGATTCCCGAGACACGAAATGTCTGTACAATAAAAGTCGTGTAAACACGTACAAAAAAACGCCCCCCATTTGGTATGGAAGGAAAGTGAACCTGCAAGCCTAACCCCGGATCCACTCCAAATCAAACAAGATAGAAACGCCCAGATTCCAAACACCGAAATGGTCCGTGACTTAAATGTACGGCCCGTTTTTGCCATCAGGCCCATTGCCGCCTGATGATTCGCGACTTCTTTCATCCGGTTTTGGCCGGATTGACCTCTGCTCCAGCTGGCGCTTTCGCTCAAGTTTGGCGTAATGCAAACCACAAGCGTTGCAAAGAGTTCTGGCGCCGTCGGGTCCGCGTCTCCATTCAGGGGTATCGACACGGTTGCAGCTATGGCATCTTCCTGGTGGCGCGGCACGCTTTAGACCAGTTAGTTCCGTCCCCGCAAGTATTCGCCTGATAGTAGACTTACTCCACGACGCTTCTTCACCTCCGTAATGGTGTATTGCGTCTTCATGCCCTCTCCGTACATGTGGACATCCTCCTCGTCATCGTAGTGGATAGGTGCCTTTGGCTTGTTGCCCTCGCGAGCCCGTTCGCTGCGGATGGATTGCTGTACCACGTCCCTGACAAACTCGAGCGAGTTACGGATAAGTTCGGCATTGGCGATCATATCATTGACCTCCTGTTCCGTCGGTAGGCGTTCGGGAATATGGTGTGGCCCGTGCTGTTCCTGTGCAATCCTAGAATACGCATCGGCAAAGGTGAACATAGTCCGAGAAGCTTGAGCCATCTAATGTCTTGTTGTCAGTCAAGATCGTGCATCTAGGGGTGAATTGGGGACGTACTCTGCTCAGAGAGTCATGGTAGTTGCCTGTTTCAAAGACTCTGCTGAACTCCGAGGGGTGGTGTCGGCCAGGGTCGTCCATTCCAATTGGCGGTGGGCGCTGGTCGTAATGTCCATACACGTGAGGAGGTGCGTGTCGCGGGGAGACGGGGTACGAGGGTAAATGCAATTGGCCAGGGGGAAGTGGTGTGCTCGAATAGCTCGGGGGAGGAGCTGGTCCTGCAGAATGAGACGGGTGAGGATAGCCTCCATTGAGCGGTCGGTGATCTTTCGGCTGGTCCTGCATGTGGTGAGGTAGCTCAGATTTAATAGGCGGGCTCGTGCGCCGGTCGGAAACCGGAGGTAAGCCTGGGCGTCCATTGTAAGGCAGTCTGGGTGAGCCTGAGAATGGAGGAAGAGGCTCTTGCCTCGATGCCGCATAGGAACCAGGTGGAGGTGGGAGTGGCGCCTGTGGGGGAGGAGCATGCTTCTCGGGCTCCGAGTACGAACGTGAGTTGGACGAGAATGGAGAGAAGCTGGAGGGAGAAGGCTGGAGGTTCGAGGGCTGAGGAGGAGCGTAGGGCTTTGCGCCGGATATCACCTCCGAGATGGAGGGCAGCGACTGGCGCTTAGAAGAGTCGCTGTCCTCATTCCGAGACTCGGTTGGCGAGATCATGCTTGGATTATGGTGAGGATAGGAGTAGGGTTGCGGAGGTGGGAATGAGGAGGTAGGGTGTAAAAGAGTCGCCGTGGCCATGGCCGGATGATGATCTTGGGGTGACCTCTCTTGTGATTCTCTATAAGGTTGGTAGTTGGGATGAGTTTGCTGTTTGCCAGGGTGGTTGGTAGACAGAGAGCCGCTGTTGAGGTTGAACCATGTTAGTGACGAGATGTAAGAAAGGTAGGAGGAGAGGTGGAGGGAGGGGTGGGGAGGTGGCCAAGTTTATAATGCTCGCACCAGAAAGAGAGTACGATGGGGGCAAGAGAGAGGATGGGAGAACACAAGGCAAGACGTACTTTCGCCTATGACCATCAGGCGCATCCATTACGCGCCTGGAGGATAGCTGATGGGGGCAAGCTTAGGAGAGACGACACATCTGAAGATTCGGCGAGAATATGAAGAACAAGAAACAAGCATGGGAAGAAGTTGGAGTGAAATCTGGGTGGGATCTGTTGTGATAATATGTATTGGAGGAATGAGCCCACGAGTCGCCGCGGCGGCAGACAAGATAGATGGCGCGCCCAGTCGATCTGATCTCTTAACCTGTCACAGGTCTCTGTCTAGTGGAGAGGGGGGGCGAGGAAAGGAAAGAGATCTTAGTTAAAATGCACGCACGACCCAACGTTCAAGACGCCAGGGGGGTAGAGAAAAGAAAAAAAGAAAAGGCAGGGGGAGAAGGAAAAAAAAAAAGCAAGACAAATCGTACTTAGTGAATAAGGACCCAGGCCGATAGCCCCCAGAGAGAGACCCGTGTGTACGGAGGAGTGTGGTGTGGGCAGATTGAGCCGGGAAGGAAGGGGTAGGCAGAGTAATGAATGGATGGATGGAGACGGTACCTTGCTACATCGTGTGTACGTACATAAAAGCAGATGCTAAGGCGACACAGCACAGGCAAAGAAAGGGAAGAGACGATGCTTTGGCTCCGCAGCCGGTAAGCCACGACCACGCTATGATGGGCAAGATCTGACGCAATGGCAACTTCCCCGTGGTGGCGCCTGCGACTGGGGCTCGGGAATGGGGAGGGGTGTGTCCTCAGCCTGGATTTGACAAGGTCGGGTGTGGCAGGAAAAGGAAAAGGCCCCTGGAGCTGGAGCTGGACAGCAGCATCGTACTGGAGGGTACGTACCTGGCCTGGCCTGGCATCGGCCATGGATGGAGCTAAGGTAAAATCTGAACCCTAGTGGGAAATGTGGCCAAATTTTCCCAACCAGGCGGCTGCAGGGCCTGCTGCTGTGGAAATGTCGGTGGGTTGTGCGATCCAGGGGGTCCGATCTGGTGACTGAGCAGGTACTGCGCCGAGCCACGTACCGCGTACCGACTACCTCCATCGCCTACCTCTCACTGAGACTGAGTGAGACCACTGGCCTCAGTCCCCCAACGCATCAATCAAATGGAGTCTGGCTGCCGGAGGGAGCTCGAGCTGCCAACCCGGCAAGCAGCCCTGCGCCGGTGAGAGGCACCTCGATGCCTGTGGGTGCAGGTGCATGTATCTCACCTCGCCCACTGGCCGGCAGCTCTCCCTCGGCCGGGAGCGCACGACAGGTCGTCAGATGGCGAGAAACTCGGACCACTACTTCGCAGCCAGAGACAGGCACATCGTGAAAGACCTGCCTTGGTGCTGGGCTTGATGGTGGGGACACCGGAACAGATGCAGGCATGGTATCCACGGCACTTTATTGCACTTGGCTTCTTTTTGCCCCCAGTCATCGGCTTGTAGAGCTCACGTTATGTATGGCAAATGTGGACTCCTTGAAATGGTGGCCCAACAGAAATGCAACGGTAAGCCGAGCCATCAGTTGATCAAGCTGCTTGAGATGCTATCCTGGGACCCAGGCCGGGGACCCTTATACAGGAGAAAAAGACGCGTCCCGGTTTTGGGGCCGGTCTTTATTTAATTTAATGGGGTGCTCCCCCGAGCTCTAGTACGTTATGCCGATGGACGATGCTGCGTACCTACCAAAGAAGGTAGGTAGCTGTTGGGCCTAGCCTGTAACCAACAGCCCCATGTTTTCCAAGTCCTCTATCAAGTGCAGTGCAGGTGTCACAGGGAAATCACTGGACATGTCTGAGAATGCGATGGCACCAAACTACGACATCCAACGTATGTTCCTGCTCCTTCCCTCCGGCAGGCACGGCCAGTTCTCTTCCATTGTCGGATACGGCCCTGGCTCTGCGCCCGCTGTCGCGCGACTGAGACTGCATACACAGGTGAGCTCAGGAGAGGAAGAAGAAAAAGAAAAAAGAGAGGAAGACATCGCAACTCAGGGCCGTGCCATTGGCTGGACGGGTCTGGATCATGGCTTATCATAGTGCCCAACATGCATTATTACGGGAAACAAGCCATCCAAGCCCCCAGCCCAGAGGCGGCTGAGAGACAGTGGTCTCTGATCTCCTCGGGCAACCTTGGGCTAGTAATTGGCAGAGAGAGCGCCATTGTCCCGCCAAGAAAAGGTACTTTGCCGATAGATTTATTACGCTGCGTGCCTAGGGAGGATTGGGATAGGCTCCCCTACGACTAGCCCGGTCGTTTCTTTCTTGCCTTACTAGATTTTTGGAATGATCACCAGTCATATTAGTACGTACCTTCCGTTCTGAGCCCGGCAAGATAGCGCTTGCTCGTTTGTGGCGAGCTTGCCTACAAATAAGTGAGATCGGCCGTGATGGGGCTGTTTTGTACGTTGGGCCCTGCCCTGTCCCGCCCAGGAAGAGGGCTGTTGATTCCTGCTAGCACTTGCAAGCCGATCGGATTAGCCAAAGTGCTAGCATCAACGGAGGTACATAGTACGTAGCATCCAAGGAGGGTCCCGAGGAACCAACGAGACTGAGCGATGGAAATTAAACCCCAGCACTCTGGTAGGCAGCAAGATTTGTTTCATTGTTGTCGGTGCTTGAAATGTATCCGAACGGCCTCGCTCCGCTAATAACAACGGCTGTTATACGCAACATTGCGCTGGTAATTAGAATCCTGTCCGGCCCGCGAGCAGAGGCCAGCCAGCGGCTAGGAAGAGGCAATGAGTGAGTCTGTAAGCAGAAGCTCACGGGCAGGGCAAGGCAAAGCAAGGCATAGCATAGCATAGGTTAGTAGCATTACACCGCACATGTGCCGAGTCCAATCCAATGCCCGCAGCGCCGCACCTCCCTCGCTGGGCCGCTGGTGGCTCAAGGCTCACTCACAGTGGTTTCGGGAGCGCGTGCAGCTCGAGGCCCTGTTCAGCTCTGCGGGCGACGTCTGCAGATGTCGGGTGAGTTCGCAGGTCGGCAGTATTGGCCGCCCGTTGCATAGGCGGTATAGCCTCCAGAAAATGCAAAATGCCCACACCCACAAACACGGCCAGACACAGCACAGGCACAAGCTGCACACAATGTGCACCCTCACGGCCTCACGACACACGCACCCACACCCCTTGTCTAAACGAAAGGCGGGTTCGCTTCTGGCCCGGCGGAATTGGGCTAGAAGCCTTGCAATCTAGTTTTGGTTTTGGGCATGGAGTGGAACCACCCCCCCAACTAGCGCTTGCCAGTGCAAGCTGGGGGAAGGCACGCCTCACTGGCGATTTCGGGCGGTGAGCGTGGCTCCAGCGTGGCTCCAGCACGGGGGAGAAGGCTGCCCACCCGATCGGTGGGTGCATCTCTGACCCTCCTCTCAGGACCGGAGACCGTTGGCCCATCCATCACCCATCCCAGACTTCACCCAGGTTACCGACCACGCCGCTCCTCCAGAGACGCTACTTTAGGCCGCCCAGGGCACGTTTCTTCAGACTAGTGCTAGGCGACTAGTGTGCCCATTGCCGATGGATGTGCCTTTTGTGTTCGATGAAGGGTGCCTGCGCACGCGCTCGATTCGTCCTGCTGCGCAAGCCGTCACCTATGCTTGCCCAGATGATTATATATCCCTCAGATTTGCAGGCTGGGCATTGCTTCGCTTGGCACCATCTGCTCTATCACATTCGCTGACGGTGGCCATCACGGAGCTGATCCCCCAGGTTCCAGCGGCCAAATAACTAATGCACAAGCAAGTCGGAGTCGCATGCTTTTTTTACCTGCCGTGGGGGAGGGGGGGGTCCCGACATCGACGATGCGGTATGTATGCCCAGGTCACTCGCCGCGCTGCAACAATGGGAGTCTACCGCCGCACCACCACACGAGTAAATTACGGACAGTGGCTCCGAACTCTGATGACATCGGCCGGTGCAGTGTAGTGCCAGGACTTTGGGTGGGCACAGGTTTGTGACTCGTGAGATGGATCCCCTCCCCCGGTGGGCCTAATCTCGTCCCAGATTCGATTGCAGTGGATCTTGATCATGCCGGCCTAAAAGGAAGGCTAATTATTAGTACGTAAAGCGTGCGGCTTGGATCAGTCTACCTGAATCAGGGCTGTCCCTAGTTGCAGCGCTACCGTCCCCATGGGTGTTAGCTGGCCATGAATCTTTTTTTCTCGATTGTTCTCACACGCTCATCACATCCCCATGTACCGTGTACGAGTACGTCGATGGGCGCAGTCTCACCCTCTCTCGTCTTCCTATGTCCTCGGGGGGTTAGAGCTGGGGGGGGGGAAGCGCCTCGTCGTCCATTGTTGCTCCGACCACCCTGGCCAGGGTTACAGGCAAGCGCCGAGCCACCACCTCGATGCCAGCAACGATTTGCTGTGGCGTGTTGCAGCGCGAGATGGTGTGGTGTGATGGAATGGCATGCACGATCCCCATTGCAGCGCCGTCAATGGCACCATGCACTCGCCAGTCCAGTCCGATGTGAGTTCCTCGGTAGGTCACTCGCAGTGTCGTACGGGCCTGCGGGCGATGAGCAGGGAGGGCTGCCAGGTGTGGTCCAGACTTGTGGAGGCGTCCAGTGCAATTTGTCGATGAGTCGCTCGCTACCCTCAACTAGGCTCTCGGCCTCATCCCCCCTTCCCCTTCATGGGGGGCGGCCGGGGTATGCTGGCCACTGACCACTCCTCATCTGGCTATTTCCCGCTAAAAAGAATGAAAGATGAGATCCAACGGTGTGTGGTGGGTGGCCATGAACCTCCATGCATACATGGCGACAAGCCACTGTCTCGATCGAAAGAATCGGGGTAGGCTGTTGGCCAGTCAGAGCCACTTCCGACGGCCTAGAAGGGGGGAAGGGTCGCCCACAACACATCACGGGATATGACGGGGCCGTCCACTGTTTGTGACAAGTAGGACGCAGAGCGAAGCACTGCTCTACGTGGGTTTAGTTGAGAGGCGCAGAAAGCGCCAGGCGGGATATTGCTATTAGACAAAGTGACAGGTGTGCCGCCTCGATGGCGGCCTTACCCCCTCTGCTCTCTTTTCTTCTTCTTACGACCGCTCACTTCACTTGACAGGCAGGTCGGTAGCCAGAGACAAAAGCCGCTGTCAGCAAACGTCATACCTGACTTTGAAGCTGACACTACCTGCCACCCGAGAAGCACGTTTCAGGCCGAAAGCTCAGATCAGATCTTCCTCGCTTGGCAAATGGTGGGCAGAGGCGACAATCACCGTCTGTGATTGCCATGATTGGCGTTGCTGATTTCATCTTTCCCCATTTTGTTCCTTTTGACTTGTTCCTTTTTTCTCAGCATTAGCTACGGGCATAAGGTAAGGATCATCCCCGCCGCAGTACACTTATTCAACTTGATACATGCCCATCACACTTGCCTTGATGTGATGCGCCCGCATTGGTCCGCCCTCTAGTCTCATGTGATTAATTAAACGCGGTGCCTCCTCTGCTGCTTCAGCCGTCCAGCTGGCCGGCCGGCTGGCTGACCGTCTCTCTGTCTGAGGCAAGGAGCCGGGCCAGAAAATTGCCAGACCTGGCTCCCGAATCATGGTGCTCGTGTTTCCGATTCACAACCAACCCTGGGCCCGTCCTTATTATGGAGAGAGAAGTGGGCTGGAGACTCAACGACCTTCACTCCGCTCTTGACAGGCGAAGGACCCTTGGTTGTGGGTTATGACGCACTGGGCTCCGCATCATTGATCGAAAGCGAGCACCTGCATGAGACTAGGTTGGTTGTCATCCGCTACCACTCCCCCGTTGTTAGCTTCGAAACCATTACAAGCGCCGGTTTTTTTTGGGCGGGCAAGAAATCGAGCGAGAGCCTGGGGGGAGGGAAGAAAAACGGCGAGGTCGATGAAACTGCATCTGTTACAAGTGATGTGCCAGGGTTCGGGATAGCGATCTGCTGCCACGCTCTGGAGGAGGAGACGAGCTTGCAAGGAAGTCGAGATAGGATTGCAACGATGGCCCCCTTCTCCGCCCGGCGTCTCCGACTTTTGCAAATACGATTGGAAGTAAATCCCCGAATCTCTACATACTGCCTGCTGATACCACCACGTTTCTTGCAAGGCCTGCTGACTCGAGCTGGCAGGTCTCGAAACTGCAAATGCTCACCCAAAGGCCCCTCCCCCCCAAAACCCCCTTCGATCCCGCTTAGCACCCTTAGCTAGTGGTAATAAAAGAAGGCCAGGCGAACAAGCGATATCCCCATCCGTCCCTCATCGCTTGGAGCTAGCTCAAAACTCGCCTTTCAGTCCCCTTTGCTGCTATTAGTCCCCTTGCTTATATCTGCGACTGGATAGCAATGCCGGGATGCGCATTGCAGGGGGAGAAAAAGGAACATGTATTCCAGAGCACAACGCCGAACCTTGCATATTTTATATGCAGGTTCCGGGTGCAGATCGTTGCCTCGGGAGTCAATTTTCTCCAGACAGCACTACAAAGCACACACGAGTGCGTGTGCTATTTCTGCATTATCGGCTCCTGCGATGCTGGCGGAGGTGCAGCATCATCACTCGTCAGACCAAGACTAACAAGATGATAAATCATCATATGAATTAATAAGATTGACAGATGATAGGCTTGTCAGAAATAGAGTGTACATAAGACTCAATACACTATTAGTACATGAGAATAAAAAAAAAAAAAAGGCGTCTGCAATATTGACAATAGGCGTGTGCATTAAGAGGGTGAAATCGGCGAACGTATGATCTGACTCGTCTAAGTGATCTATCACATTGCAAGATAAGTTGTGTGGGTGCTTTGTACTTGTATTAATTCCATGGTGTACAGAGTGCTATTACTTTCCCACAGGAGGGAAAAAAGATCCTCTGTCGTATATCCATCCGTTTAGCCATCCCCGTCTCCATCTGGAAACGTCGATGAGGAAGAGAGGTGTGTGTGCGAGAGTTTTAGGGGTGTTGGGTCTAATTATCCACATCTCTCTCGGTTTTACCCATGCCAGATGCAACGCTCGACCGGGGATGGGCTGAATTTCTCGGTGGGCAAATTAACCCCAAAATCCTCCTGTGGCATTTCACCCAGACGTACACAGTAATAGATGGGTAATATGTGAGCCGTGTGTGGATGTATACGAGGATCATACATACATGCCGTTAATACCTCTCCAGATCAGGCGCCTGATCAAGGAAGAATCCGGAAAGCCCTGCAAATGCAAAATAGGCCCTTTTTTCTCTCTTCCTCTCTCAAGGACACCCACCTGAATGGGTAGGGTAGGGGGCTGTGACATCAAGATGCAGCGTCTGCAAATTACAATGTACTCTGTCGACGGGTGGTCACCCCATCTTTCTTACCCTCCCAAAGTGTGCGATGGTGAGATGAGAAGGCGGCCCCCCCCTCCCCCAACCATATCTTGGCTGGCCAGCAAGCTGGGGATGTGACAGGTTGTCATGTGTCGTATCAGAATAGACACGTCCTCGACAAAAGAAAGGAAAAGCAGAAGGGAAGAAAAAAGGCTAGACAGGGACACGTTTGGCAGCATGGCATGTCGATAGCGCGTAGACACACACACACGCTACACACACATACGCCGGAATGTCATCAGCGTTGTGTAGGTAGCCAACTGTCAGGGCGGAAAAAGCAACATGACCTCAATTCTGTGGAGGATGTGTGGCTGCTTCGGCGACACGCTGGCCGACGCCGTGTCCGACGTGATCCTCTGATGCGTTTTTTTGGCCCAGTAGTAGATACACTCACATAGCAGAAGCACGCTGCGTGTCATGCAAAAGTGGGACCTGTCATCTGGGGTCTGCTACCGATCGATATCAGCAACGAAGATGGCCCTCTGAGATGGGTGGGCGAGCGGGTGGAGGAAGGGGGCGGCCAGAGGTGGTTTACGATGGCTCGATGGGAGGGAGGATCCTATCCTGGCACTGCCGCTGGCGAACAAGCATGGATCCTGGGGCAAAGGCCTTCGAAAGGGCCAGGGAAGGGGTGGTGCAGTGGTGGTGGAGCGGATTAGCTGAGACGGACCAGACAGTGGATGGGGGTCGGGGCTTGGGCGAGGAGTTGAGGGCAGCTGGGCCGGGTCGGTACCTCGCGGGAGGTACCTGGTACTTGGCGGTGTCGTAGCGCGCGAGCGCGAGCAGAGGGCAGGCGCGATGGTGTCGCTTGTATCGGATACCGATTGTCGATTCCTGATCTGGTACATTTCTTACCTGCGTCGCCCGTGTGCGTAGCATCACCAGATCCCAAGGCTCTGCCTCGATGGGCGGCCTTCCCTCCTCGCATCGCATCCCACATCCTTCGTCCATTAATTGCCGAGGAGCGCAGAGCACGGCCGACGACCCCAGCGCATCGGCCTGAGGAAGCTGTGGTTAAGGTCAATCCCGGAGGAAGTCCGATGCAACGCTCCAGCTGCCCTGGCCAGTCATCGATCTGGCATACGCACAAGTGTGGCACGATCCATGTCAAAGTTGCATGGTTGCGCTGGGAATGATCAGGCCACTGCCACCCGCAAAAAGAAGCAGAAGAGCGCCAGAGCGAAGCGGTCGTGCGGCGCCAGTTGATGCAGCTGCGAGGGAAACAGGGTCTCCGAATCTGGGCCTGGGTGCTGTGGGAAAGCGGGGGATCCCTCTGTCCAGGCAGACACAGATCAGGCGATGCGACAGGGATGCGCAGGCATTCAAACATGAATGTCGTTCGATTTACCCTCCGCGCGACGGGGCTCAGTCTTCCGCGCACAGCCAAGCATGCCCGTCAGTTGGCCACTTGGCCCAAGCAGCCGCAGCCTGCCCTCCTGCTCCTGCTCCTGCTCCTACACCTGCAGTCCATCCATCCCTTGGGGGAGGGGGGGGGACCTTCATTCGCTCTACGAGATCTAAGCGAGCTGGTCCACGCGACGCGACGCGCCGCCGACGCTGTGCTCGTCCACGGCACCGGCGAAGCAAGCAGCAGCGGTGCTCGCCTCAGGGCCGGAATTGTGAAACCCACCTGGGGATTTGATCTCCCTGGGCGGTCGCTGGCCCAAGGACGACGCGGACGAAAAGTACGTGGGACTACCACGGGCTTTGCCGGCCAAAGATCTCGATTAAGTAGCCGCTTCCGCCTCGGCATCGTCCCATCGCATCTCATCTCGACCTGGTTGTTGGGCCAGAGTAAGCTAGCGTTTGTAGGAAACCCCCTGCTAGCCGCACCACACTGGACATGAATCAGGGCTTCTCAGTGGCCCAGCCCTCCTGCACAACCGTTGAGACCGCAGCGGAAGTACCCTTATTGCTGAGATTGTCAGCCTGGGTGGAGCTGGCTCTACCGACGGCCAGAGTACCCAGTTACCTCCGGAGCTTTCAGGAGGCTTCTGGACAGCTTCTCTCCCACTTGCCCCTGTTCATGAGCTTTAGCTTTAAGATGTACGGGGGAAAGAGCATCGAGCACCGCCCTGCATGAGAAATTACACCCGATCTACGATGATGGATGCGAGTCCCAATCACATCAAATCAAATCAAATCAAATCCGCGGTCGCGAGGAAAGAGCCTTGTCCATCGACGACAAGCCCGATGATATCTCGTCCATGTATTACCACATACAGCCATCACTCTCTGCGTCTAGCTAGTCGTATCGCTATTGATTGCCCCTGCACCGCTCTGCAGAGTTTTTCTTCCTCGCCCTCCGGGGGGTTGACGCAGACGCATTCCTAATCATGAGATATGCTCACAGGTCATGCTGGCCCATTGAGCAGCACATAGTTTTCAGTGGCTCTGAGCATCCCAAGACTCAATAATCTCAATGCATGCAAACTAGCAGGCGCGTCACAATTCGGCCAGGCTGGTCCATTGACAGCTCGTCCTGCATACACACATGCCCAGTATACCACCCCGGGTGCTGCGACCCAGCAATCGAGCAGAAATCTCCCGGGTTCTCGTTGCTTTTTTCTTTTTCTTTTCTTTTTAGTCGCATGATCGACCCCGACGAAAGTGGTCGAGGAGGTCAAAGATGGCCTGATGAAGTCCGCCTCCCCACCGGCCCCGCCCTTTCGAAAGCGCATGCAGATTCGCATCATGTAGGTGCGGATGGATGCACACGGCTCAAGGCCAGCCAGAATCCCATTTGCATCGGGCCCGGGCTGGGCTGGGTGGCAATAGCTCGTCCCACCCACCCTAGTGATGACTGCAAGGCCGCGAACTCTTCCAAGCCGCTTGCCAATCAGCCGCCCGGAGATATCAGACCATTTCAATGCGAATTGTGATGTATGTATGTACATATGTGATGTACTAAGGCTATGCGGAGCCTATCACCTCTCGGGGTCGGAATGGGAATGCGACGGCTACAGCGACTGGCGCGCTCGACCCCTTCTCCCTCAGGACCACGAGACCAGCCGATCCCGGGTTATTACGAGTTAATCGATCCAGGTCCCTACAGGCTGGACGTGTCGAGATTCCCAATCTCCTGGCTCGCATGCAAAGCAAAATGCTTGTGTTAGCGGTCGAGGACCCTGTTACGCTAGCATAGATGATGTTCATACCGGTCCAACTCGACCAACGCAAGTAATGTAATTCATCCCCACAACCAGTATCACCCCTTCCCTATCTGGTAAGTACCGGTCTTCATGAACCATTCCATTCCCTAGGCTCTCTCTTTAGGTGAGCAAGCTAAATAGACGCACCCAGTGCCGAAATACTGATCATCGTCGAGCTCTGGGCTGTGAAACACCCGCCGACGTTGAAGACAGTCCTTGCTAACTACAATCCCGGCCAGTCTCATTCCTCGCTCAAGGACGCCAGTGCCAATGCGACGAGCGGCTCAATTCAAGATGTGACGCCGGTATCCTCTGTTGGGATAAGCCTCTTGCAGCCTCCGTCTTCGGTTGCTGGCGCTGGCGCCGGTGACAGCTCATAAGCCACGACAGCGCGCAATGGGCCAAAATGAGCGTCTATCACCATCACGGACTTCCGTGGCCGTCGTCCAGTCGTTCATCCTTGAGTGCGGGCGGGGGTACTGAGTCCAGCCGCCGCGACCCTTTGCCAAGACGTCTCCTCACTCCCTGGCTCTCGCATTCCTCTTCTCAACACATGGCACCGACATTCAGTAGCGAGGCCACAGCTCGACTTAGCGCTGGTGATCCTCCGGCCAGCTAGCACGACGAGCTCGCAAGTCTGCCTGTCTGCCTTCTCTGAGCTGGACCGGAAGACTGTCCTAGCTTCTGGGACTAGGTTGCTAGCAGTGCGAACTAGGGCACCAGCGTTGGACTCTGAATGTCCCCAGTCCTTGGTCTGGCTCTGATCAGGCGCCAGGGTGATGCAGTAGACTCTGCGCTGACTGACTCGCTCACACAAGCTCATTACCCACAGCGAGACAAAGGGTTTTGAGCGTTCGCGAAATTCGATCGGTTCCGTGCCGCCAGATCTACGAGCACATCATGGGTAGTGACCGATTTCTCCAGATAGCCTGCATGCGTCCTCAGGGTCTATCTAGGTCTGACCCTCACTGGCACCACCAAACATCAGGTTGGCCGCGGGCATCCTCGTGGTGGTCTGTGTGACCGAGCCAGCACGCGAGGGTTTCCTCATCTCAGCTCGCCTCTCTCACCGCCATCATCTAACCACTCGGCCTGCCTGGGTCGGTCCTTTGACCATTCTGGTCACGAGTAATGAGGGCCTTGAAAGTTATAAGTTGGGTGGCTGGGCTGGGTGGTACTGCGGGTCACAACCGTAGGTGGCCCTCAATAGTGCGGGAGGGATCGTGGAGACATAGAGTTAGAGATGCGATACATGCTGAGAGATTTCCCGCCAATTTAGCAAGATTGGATCCGATCAGTGGCGTGGACCAACGGGCATCGTTCTAGCTGCAGATTGGCGACGACCGAGCGCTCGCGTCCTGACCAAGGAGAGCTAGCAACCTAGGCTCGGATATCAACACCCTATTACGGACTTTGAGGGGCCTAGGCTCATTGGCAATTTGGCGGTGTTGCCTTGACCATCCCCTTGCGACTTAATACTGAGCGCACGCTAACTTGGGGAGTACCAGTACGGTACCAGCTCTGCTTACCTATGTGGGACAAGATTGTTCAGTCTGTTCGACCATCATGACGGATGAGTTCGGGGGGGCGATCTCACTGGCCCCATGCCGTGTATGCACACACCTCTGGGCAGCTCCGCCTGACGATGCAGTCGGTCGATTCGAGCAGTCATACCCATCCCGCGGATGGGTCTGAGTCGGCACCACAACCCAGTTGTGAACTGGCAAGGCCGAATGACCATCGGAACCCCCGCAGGTCGCAACTCGAATCTCAGCATCTGGGCAATGGGAAACGGTGATGGGTTGCGCTATTTACATGCTGGATATGCAGCTGGTGCAGTAGCCCGTCTTCCTGGATGCTTCGGGGGCAACCTGATTTGGCGGATTGGGCTCGATGCTGATCCCAGATCGCCAGATCGTGCAGCGCATGGTTGGGCTACCGATGCTCCACTAGGTAGGTGCGTACAAAAAGGACTGGGAACACGTACGTAGAGGTGGTCAGGGAGGGAAAAGCCACCGAGGCTCAGCCAGCGCGGACGCACGTATTGTCACAGTCCTGTATCCGTGACGGGACATTGGGCATTGAGAGCACGACGAGTGTCGTGTCACGGAGACGCCTCGGGTTGCGACAGTTGAGTCAGAATGGCCCTCTATATCCTGCAGGCATGTGATTGGTTTCTGCTGTGTCGCCCGGCTGGATAAGCGTATAAGCATGCATGGGTCTATCAACGGATGAGTCTAACATGGCTGGCTGGCTGGCTTTGACTTTATCAACTGCATACAACGCCAAGAGAAAAAAATATAGGTCCGTATCAGCCATGTAGCTGATGATATTTGAGTTCAGTTCACTAAGCAGCCATGTAGACTTGAAAGCGCGTACGCACTGTGATGTGATGTGGCTCTGACCTCGGAGGGGTTGTCATATATCGGATGCCAGCTTACATGCGGACCAGAGTGATACAATACACAACTTGGTTGAAGCAGCACTCTGTCGCTGCGACGGAATTGGCGCAGAATAAGCCGAGCTATCGTGTCGGAGGCTCGGTGTTATGGCCTCGCATCACGAATCCATACGTTCCAGGCTCGGTTGATATCAAAGATGATATGTGAACGAGACTCTTGCGTTTATGGCATGACCACTAGATGGCCAAGAAGGGGGGGTCAGGTTCAGTGATTGGTTCCGAGCCTTGCTTCTATTGTTTCGGGTCTTCTTTGTCTAAAGAGGAGAACGGCTTCTTGATACTGGCCATGTGAGGCTGGCAGGGACCTGCCATGGCCGCACTGGGGATATTCAGTGACGCTGGAACTCGAAGAGTCGACATGCGCTTGCTCTAAGGGTTGCCCTATCTGCCTTTGGGGTTTGTGTAACAGACGCTACACGTGTTGTGCAACCACTTGTTCAGGCCTCGATGGAGGGTTTCGAGGAAATCTGTATCTCCGGCCTTTCTCCTCGATACCCTGCTACTTGCCTGAGGCGGTAGTAACAGGTTTGTGTAAATATGATTCATATCAAATGTCGATATCACACGGTCATATCACACACCCGAGTCATAAGAGCCAGGGATCTAGGAGTCTGGAAGCATTAGACACCAAAGGACCCAACAGGGGGGTCGACGAGAAACCTGAATCCCAACCCATCTGATAACAGAGAGGAAATAAGTGAGATCTGCAAAAAAACAAAAAGAGTCTACGTGGAATGAAGGAACTAATGGAAATGAGATGGTCGGCAGATGAGAGAGCACAGTCCACGCGGAATCATGACCGTTGCCACACAGACCCGTCGCCTTGGCCGTGCGTTTGGGCAATGAGAGAACACTCCTCGTTGAGATGATCAGTTCTCAAGCCCCTTGTGCTCGACGGGTGCCATGGCCTCAACCTGGGGGTGATAGGACCTCTCTCCCATCCATGCCTACCATAAATGACCGTTCATATGCGAATAGTTTCCCTTGGCAACCCGAGATCGGGTTACGTACTGTGCAAATCAGTTCTCTCGGGATGGCCCCGATCCAGCCTCCGCCGGAAATAAGGCAACGCGTGCTGGATATCCTGATCTCGCGCTCCAAGTGGGTTGGGGAAGGCAGGCTACCGGCCCATGCCCGACTGTTGGCTGATGGGCAGAGAGGCCGGGAAGACGAAACAAAGAGCCAACGGGTTTCTGTACATGGGTGCTGGATGAAACCGCCAAACCTAATCACAGGGTTCACCCTACCTACCCCAGTTGGTTTGTTGGGAGCCGACAAGGTCCTAGTTACCGTTGGGATGGGTTACGATCAGCTCTTGGCCGTGTTCGAGTTCAAGTTGATGGTCTGACCATTCCGATGTCAGGTTTGGGCACGGTCAAAACAACACAATTACTTTCCAATAAACACAAAAACTTCAAGCTGGTTCTCTACGCTACACACAAAACTACGCAGGAAGCTTTGATTGAACAC